AAGGAAAGCCTTCGCTAGGGGTGACAGGACAATACAGTTCAGAACCATCTTGAGGTCAGGTCTCTGGACTTCCAAAGCAGTACTCTTTGCCCAATAGCCTCTGCACTCTTGTTCCTGACCTTTCATTCCATCATTTTTTTTTTTTTCAACAAGTACTCACTGTGAGTCGTCCTCAGGGACTATGCTGGGCCTTGGGTGTACTCTGCTGAACAAGTCATGAGCCTTGTTCTCAAGGAGTCCTCAGTGGGAAGCAGAAAAGTAAAGAAACAACATGCCAAAGTCTGTATGGGGCTCTTAGGGAACATCAAAGAGCAGCACTTGGGTCAACCTGAGGGGAACACAAGAAAGTCTTTCCTGGGGAATTGACGCTTGATGCTGTCTTGACGAATGTTTTGAAGCTGACTAAGTAGACATAAGACGGAAGAACACTCTAGGTCCAGACAGTGACACAGCGAAGGCCTTGACACAGGTGGGCATCATGGAGACTGTTCCAACACAGAGTGAAAATGGGACAAGATGCAAGGCCGTCAGCCCCACCTCTCTATATCTCTCTCTGTCCCTCATCTAGGCCCTATTTGTTTGGCCCAGGTGTTTTTGAGATGCAAAGAGCTTCTCAGCATGCAGAGTAACCAGAAGAAAGAAAATGGCTCCCTAGGGAGATGCTCTAAACAAACCTTTCCCTATAAGTCATCCTCCAGCTCCCCATCCTAGGGATGGCCCCTGGAGGGCACTGCTGGAATTGCTACACCTCAAGACTAATGTCATTAGAGGGAGAACTCCACTCCCCATCACACACACTCTGCGGAGCTTTCCCAAACATACCCGCCCCCAGGAGGAAGCCCAACTGCCTGTGGGATAACGGGTCTTCTCTGCTACTGCTTGCAAAATCGTGTGTTCTTTCTTAATGCTGTTTAGGAAACAATTCAGTTGGGATTACAGCCAGATTTCCTTTCTATGTGTGTGTGTGGTCGGAGGTAAAGAGGCATCCCCAGAAGGTTTTGGAAACTGGAGGCAGGACAGTGGGTCCTCAGACATGTCAATTGTGCCCAGCTTGTAGACCTCGTATTCACTCTCCTTAAGTTTTTTTACAATTAATTTTGAGTTCTATAGATAATACCTGCGTATATTTTGAATTAAATTTAAAATTACAGATCAGGTTAAAAAGCTGCCTTTAGATTAGGTCTTTGCATCAACCTCAATTCCAGTCCTCTGTGTGTGTGTGTGTGTTTTTGTGTGTGTGTATACACCCAAAATCCTGATGGAATGGAGAAATGAAGGAGAAAGAATTATGGCATGATCATACCACTTTGGGAGTGTGTTCTTCCTCTCTCTTTGTCTCTCTTTCTCTTTTTGGAGAGTGCCCATGCCCTCTGGCAATTAAAAAGGAAAGAAATTATGAGATAGAGTGAAGCAATATTTTTAAAGTGCTGAAATAAAGAACTTTTAACCTATAATTCTCTACCCAGTGAAAATGTCCTCCTAAAATAAAGATGACGTAAAGACATTCTCAGGAGAAGAAAAACTAAGAAAATTCACTGATGGGAGAGAGAGTAAAGGGAAGAGAGATGTAAGGGCAGAGATAAGTATTTCTGAGAGGTCTTGCCTGTGTTGTGCATGATTTTCCTGCCCCAGTCCCTTCCCAGAACCCCAGGCACACACTACCATGCCTGGTGTGTTTAGATTGGCCCAGGAACCAAATCTGGGCCTCCTATGCAGCTTCCAGTCTCTCAAGCTGTGGTGCTATGTCTTTCCACCATGCCTGGGCCAAGTCATAGTTATTTTTAATTGTGTCTGTTGCTTTCAATATCTGGGTTATGTGTGAGTCTCATTTTGTTCATTGCTTTGCTCTAACAGTAGGTTGTTTTTTCTTGATTTTCATATGAGCCTTATATTTTGGGTTGAAAGTTAGACATCATAGGTGTATTGGTGTATCAGCTAGGCATACGTCATAGTATTTATGATTGGAAATGGAAATCCTTCTTTTTTGCTGTTGTTTCTTTGTGTTTTAGATTTTCGCCATAAGGTACATGCACTCGCCCGAGAGAGACAGTGAAAGGGAAAGTGAGAGATCACCCCCCCAGAGGGGATGGCCATGCCACAATCCCTTCTCTTTCTTGGATTTTGGGCATGCACACACACACACCTGGCATGGTTTTCAAGCCTCCAGGATTCAAACTGAGGTTGGCCATGTAGGAGTCCAGTGCTGTAACCTTTATTCCACCTGCTGGTCCCCATGAAAAGACTTCTTAAGCTTAGCCTGATATGCTGGGGTTTGACAATATAATCAGGAATTTAGCTGGGTTTGGATTTCAGTTGCCTCAGGGAGCCACAGACTTCAAATTCTTCAAGCATTTCCTTGTGCCTAAGTGAGAACTGGTTTGTCAGATGTTCCACTCCAGTCTCAAGTTTAGATCCTTGCTCTCCATGCTCTTTATCTGTCTCCATTCTAGAAATGAACTCTTGTTGTCTGTTACTTTTATTGGTTATGTCTTCTGATACAATGGTATATAATATAAAATAATAGATACCCTTGTCTTATTCTGAAGTTGAAAAGATAGGCTGATGTTTCACCCTTTAAGAACAAGGTTTATTGGTTTCTTTTAGACGTCCTTTATCAAATTAAGGGAGTCTTCCTATCTGCTAGAAGTTTAAGAACTATAAAGGGAAGCTGAACAGTGGCACAATGGTAAAATGCAATGCTCTGAGGGGCTGACCCACATGGTATGGCTCTGGGTTCACGTGTAGAGATTTCCCTAAGTATGCCAACCATGCATGTGCCCATGACTCGGAGCTGGTTGAGGCTGGAAGTGATTCACAGCATCAAGACCTTGTTGGGGATACTGTCTCTCTCTCTCTCTGAATAAGAAGTAAATAAATAAACGTTTTTAAAATATATATATGGGGGCCAGATGGCAGCACAGCAAACTCAGTGCTCTACAAGGCTTATGGGAAGGTTGCCAGTTTATATTCAAAGGCTTCCTTGAGTACACCAGGTGTACATGTGCCTATGAGCAGAGCTGGCTGAGACTGGGAGTGGATCACAGCATCAAGGGTCCTATCTCCTCACTCACACTGATTGAATGAACAAACAGATTTATTTAAAAAATACGAAGTACTTTGGAACAACAGATGGAGTAATGATTATGTCTCTGGACTCCCACGTGGTCGATCATGGTTTGAGTTCTGGATCTGGCAGCTTAAAGCTCACGCCAGACACATGTGTGTGTGTCCAAGACCCTGAGAGGAGAATGAAGGAGAAGACTGCGCAGCATGGCCATCCCCCTGGGGGTTGATTTCTCGCTCTCTATTTTTCTGGCAAGTGCACGTGCCCTATAAAAAAAAATCTCTCCAAAGGGGAAAAAAAAAAAAAAAGGAAGTACTAATTTAACTTATCAAATGCTTTTCAACACCTTTTGAAGTAATCATATAATTTTTCTCCTTTGAACTGTCAAAGTAGTGTTTTATTAATAGATTTGAATATAATTAGTAGACTTCATAATAAAAATTGTAAAAATTTTACCTTATTGAGATAAACACCATTAGTCATGGTGTATATTTTACTTTATTGCTAATACTATATTAAAGATCTTTATTTCTGTGTTCATAAATAAGACTGTCATATAATTTTCTTGTCCTGTCCTTGTCTAGTTTTGGTGACAGACATATACTAGTCTCATAAAAGGAACTGGGTTGCTTCTCATCTTTTTCTATACTTCTAATTTATTTATCAGCCTAACATGCAGTGACTCTTTTTAATCTGAGAATATGTGTCTTCCTTTTCTTTTTTAACTCACATTCTTTTTTAAAAACTTGTTTTACTTACCAGAGGGCACGCGTACCTACTGGAGAGAGAAAACCTCCACAATGAAGCACAGTTACACTACAATCCTTTTTCCTCCGTTTCTCCATTTGGGACACACATGCTCACCTGTCCTGTGTGTTTCTTAAGCCACCAGGGCTGAGATGCAAACCATGGTCAGCCACGTGGGATGCAGCTCCTTATGCACAGGGCTTAGCCACTGAGTTATAGAGCCAGCCCTGGATCTGTGTCTTTCTTCTAGAAAATATACAGTCATTATCTCTTCTATCACCCATTCTCTGTTTTCAAGTTTATTTATTTCCTCCATCAGTGAGAGAGAGAGCGAAAGGAAAAGACTCCAATAAGGCTCACCCCCAGCCTCCCCAGCCCTGGATCACGCACGTGGCCGTTGTACTCGCAGAGGTTCCTGGAGGTGAACCTAGAACCTTCCCACAGAGCATTGCACTTTACCTCTATTCCACAGTCTGTGCCCTACCCCCACACGGTGGGTTTCAGTCAGAAAAGGATGTAAGTTGCCATTCAGTGGCTCCTTGCCCGGGCGCTGAAGCTTGTTTCTCCCAGGTGTTGCCAACCATCTAAAATACCACCTGGTCTCTGATCCAAGCTGCCACTCCCAGTTATTTTCATCTAAAAGCAGATATCTTTGGGACCAGCAGTTAGTGTAATGGCTAAGTCACTGGACTCGCATGTGGTCGACCGCGATTCAAGTCCCGGACCGGGTGGCTTAAACTCACGCCAGCCGCGTGTGTGTGCGTCACCAAGATCCCGAGAGGTGAATGGAGAGGGGATTGTGGCATGGCCATCCCCCCCTGGGGGGTGATTTCTCACTCTCTGTCTCTCTCTGTCTTTCTGGCAAAACCTATGCAAAAAAAGAAAAGAAAAGAAAAGAAAAAATGCAGATATCCTCCTCTTTGCCCTTGGACCTATGGGAAGGAAAATGTGCAATGGGCAAGCAACCTGGATGCTCCCCACTGGGAACTCCAAGTACTCACACTGTCAGGAGCCCCTGGGGTGTCTTTGGCCCTATTTGTACCACCTCTCGCCTCTAGCCAGTAGAGCAAAGTGCAGAACCCTCCCACGTACACGCCACTCTGAGGCTTGAGTACAATGTTCCATCTGCTTTGTCTTTCCTAGACTCCTGATGTCTCCAGTCTACCGAGCCCCCTTTCTTGCTTTCAGACAGAACTATGCGTGCTGTCTGTCTGTTCACTTGTTTGCTATGTTTTTCTAGCATCTGGTACTTCTATGATTTGGTATAAGGGGAGAGAGATCGCAGTGTCAGGTCTGCCATTGTGAAACTGATGCCTTCTCTGTTTCCCGCCCTCTGTCCCAGTCTCTTTCTCTCCACAGCCCTGCCTCAATCTCCAATATCTGAGCTTGTGACCAAGGGCTCGGAAAGCCCCCTTTTCTTAGAAAAAGGAACTCAAGAGTTGCCTAGTGTTGATGAGTTTTTGCCCTTTAGATGGAATTTCTGGGTTCAAGAGTCCAAAGCCCAGCATGACCCACCCCTCCAGGGAGTCCTTGCCCAGGTAGAATCCAGCATAGATTTTGTGAAAATAGACTTTATTATAATAAAATGTCTTTTTAAACAAACGCCCCCACCATTCCACAGCCCTGGAGACCAAGGTGGGGGCGGGTTCAGTCAAACAATCTCCCACCACAGTGAAGGAAACATGCAAAGAGACACTCACCCAGCCAGAGGGTGGGGGTGGGGTGGTTAAGGTAGGGGTGAAGAAGCCCCTGCCCCACTCTGGACAGGGAATGTATGAAAATAGCTGCATAAATCTGTCCTTTTCCCCAGCCTGGGACTCCAACAGGGGCCAGAGGAAAACAATGCAAAAGAGAAGTTGAATCCAATGAGCAAAATAAGGCAAACCCAACTCCTGCTTTCTGCCACTGGCCCCCAGGGGTCCTTGGGGGTGGGACCACACAGGGGCCAGGCGCCCAGCAGGGAGGGGTGGAGCACTATGGGGCGGGGGCAGGCCCGCTTTGGCATGGCCTTTCTCCTTCCCGGGCCTGTGCAGTGGAAGCGAGATGGAGGAAGCTGGACTGAGGCACTGAGTATGTACATATATACACGGCTCCGCCCACCTGCCCATGGGCAAGAGGGGCTCAGGAGATTCCAGTGCAAACTTTCCTTCCAGGGAGGGAAGACATGAGCAGGATAGCCGGAGCCATCAGAGGGGCCAGGCCCCGTTCTCCCCGCAGGGTCCCTGTCCTGGGTGTGGAGAGGGCCAGAGAAGGGACGAGACAAAGAGATGGGAGACTAGGAGCAGACTACATAGGTGGCCGGACTAGGAGTCGATAGTCCCAGGTTCAGTCTTGGTCCAGATTAGGTGCTCGGTGACTTTGGCCAAGGTACTTACTCACTATGGGGCCCAGTCTCCCCTTCTGTAGGAAGAAGGAGCTCATCTAGAGGCTTCATCCTTTAGGTCCCATCTAGTTCCGACCTTCACCAAGTCTTGTTCCCATCCAAGGGCCACAGGGTTAACTCAGAGCACAAGTGTTCTAGGTCTTGCCAGGACAGGGATCTGGGGGCTTCTGAGGGACTCTGAGGGCCACCTCTGCGTGCAGGATGGGCTGCAGCTTCACTCCTTCTTCCCAGAACCCAGCTTCCTGAGGAGCTGCTTCCCCTTGAAGAAGAGACTCCACATCTTCTCGCGTGTGCCTTGTGGCTCCCCCAGTTCAATCCCAGGGGCGCTGCCAGGCCCGGGAGTACAGGGCCAACCTGGGGGCTCCAGAAGCCTTTGTGTTGTGCTGATCCAGTCCTGGAATATGGGAGAGAAGAGACAGTCAGGGCCAGATTCCCTGCTACCCTGGACCCCTTTTCTCTATAACTCGGGGCCTGCAGCCTCCCCGGGCACAGAGTATGGTAAGGAATGGTTGCCTCTCCACTCTACCCCACCCTGGCACACAGCACAGAGGGAATGGATGATGGTGCTGAGGGAGCACTGAGCTGAGGGTCCAACAGGACAGTGTCTCAGGTCTGCTCTGTCACTTGTGACCCTGGGCAAGATCCTTCTCTTTTCCCTGCAGAGCGCTAGGCTGACAGAGCTCAAGAGTTCTCAGAACCTGACCCCAGGGTGGGTGTTCCCAACTTCCCACATGTTTGCTGTCCCTCTCCCGCTCTCCCAACAAAGGGAGAGCAAGGACAAGGAGCGCTGGGAGGCAAGGATCCCTTCCAGGAACAGCATTCCCTCCAGCCCAACCCAGCAGACAAATGGAGGCCTAGTGCCCACTCGGTGAGGAGTAGATCAGAAGTCTCCCTTGGATGGCCCCTGAGAGAAGTGCAGAGAGGCGGGCCCAGAGGGGACTGGGGCAGCACTCAGTCCCCACCTCCTGCTCTGTAGGTGCCTGGCTCCTCCCTCAGCACGTGCTCCCTGCTGAATCTCCTCCCAGCTCCATCTGCAGCCCTGAGCTTTCTCTGCCTCAGGCCCATCCAGACAATGCTCCTCAGAGGCCTAAGGTCATGGGACTTGGTGACCAGGGGAGCCACCAAGAAGCCTTCCCAATCAATAGTCCCACACCTCCACTTTGACCTATACTCTTACCAGCCTCCCTTCCCTCCTTTTCTCAACCTCCACTTGCTGCCCAGAGCCTGGCAGCATCCCAGCCAGAGGCAACCACAGAGCTCAGACCAGAGGAAGGGGACTAGGGGCATGGCAGGCCCAGCCCTCCCCTCAGGCCTGGGTGTTTGGCAGGCCTGCCCACAATGCGGTCTGTTCAGATCTAGAGGCCAAAGCATCTGCCACCAACAAACAGCCAGGGCAGATGGCTGGCCTGGGAGACCCAGGCCCTTCACTCCTTCCCAGGGTTCTTTCCACAACACTCCAGAAGGACTGTTGGGAAACAAAAGGAAAGGGGTCTCTGAGTCCCCCCTCATAATGGTTTGGGGTGATCTATGGACTTTCAATGATGCAAGCTTCCCCTTTTATCTCCCAAGCAGAGAAAATTGAGAGTTGGAAGTAGAACCTTGCCTCTGATCACCCTGACAGGCCATAATGCAGAGGACAAGGGAGGGCGGGGGGTTATTATTACTGGTGGCATTACGCTGTCATCCTTCTGTCACCAATAATAACCACAATATTATAATACCACAGACATATGGTATCATAATACCGCTGACAAGTCATAATATGGATGTCACATAATGTCCTGTAAGCCGCATGTGCTACAGAATATGAGACGTCAGCTAATATGGGACATCATAAACCAAGATGACATGTATTCCTATGACAGCTGGCACTGCCCAGGGTAAAGGCAAGGGAAGGGGAGCAGAGGCGGGGGGTGATGCTGTACTCCAAGCTGGCTCATGACAAGACCTCCCTCCCCCACTCCCTGGAAGCAACTGGAACAGCTAGGTCAGCTTAGACAAAGGGGACTGTCTGGTTATGATGACATGGGAATGGGGTCACATGAAACACAGGGGGCCAGTCCCCCCACTTACATGTTGTCTCTCTACATATATCTATCTCCATCTAGCACTGGACTCTCCTCCTCCTCGTTCTCTGAGAGCAGGGAACAAAGAGAGGAGATGAGTTACTGACGCATGCGCACTCTGCACCTTACCAGGTGGCCTGGTCACAGAGGGTGGCCCTGCAGGCTCAGCCTTCGCATAGGGAACAAGTGCACAGGGAAGCCCTGGGTTTTCTGGTTGGGGCTTGGCATCCTGGCCCCCACCCTGCCCCGTGAGACTGGGGGCTTAAGTGTACTCCGCCCATCCCAGGAGAGGCAAGCTCTAGAACAACCACCCAGGAAGCAACTGGCTTCAGAAGTCATCTGGCAGACAAGGAGACCAAGCAGGGTGGGAGTACCTGGAACCAGGGCTATGGCGGACACAGGGGTCCTCGCCTGCCTGGCCCCTGGGGTGCTGGACGCTAGGTCAGAGGCTAAGGTGAGTCACAGCTCTGGTCCCTCAGCAGACGGGCACACACGGGGAGGGAGCTGCCCAGCCGGGCTCTCCTCTGGTGGCAGCCTTCCCCTGGACACGGCACTCTCCTGAGTTATGGCTCAGCCATGTCCCTCTCACAGTCCGGTCCTGGTCCCACCACCCCAGCAGGGCAAAGACCAAACAGCTGAGCTGGGATCTCAGCACCTCACTGACCTGACTCTCAGCCTGGAGTGTCCCGGGTTCTCTGTCTGGGCCTCCTGCCTCAGGCCCAGGGCCCTCCAGGAAGTTGGATGGAACCAGGCCCCTTTGTCCATTCAGCTCCCCCTGGGGTGGAGATGCTGGTGAGAGAAGACCAGAAAAGAGGCCCCAGCCCTGCCCCTGGACCCAGAAGCCCTGGAGAACTGCCTGAGGCCAGCCCAACCCTGCCTAGCTTTGGGGCAGTCCTCTTGAAAGGGCTGAGGAGCCAGGGGTGGTGAACCCCTCCCCACAATCTTCTCACATAGTAGAAACCGTCATCATCCATGCCCCCGAAGACAGTGATGACATCCCCAGCCCGGAAGGGCAGCTCGGCCTATGGAGGAGAGAGCAAGAGGCAGTTGTGAGGCCTGGGGAAGCCCTGCCACCACCTACTCCACTGGGCTCTCTCTGAGGGTCCTCACCTCCACATCCATATTGGGGGAGTTCTCTCGGGGATTGTAGTCAAAGGCAGCCACCATGGAGTGAGGGGCTTTCAAGCCAGCAGAGGGGATTGGCTTCGGGGGGCCTGCAAGGGGAAAGGGAGAAGTCTCAGGACTCTCCCAAGGTGCCCACTTCCACACGGGAAGCCTGTTGACCCCTGTTCACCACCTCCCTGCAAGACGTGGCCCTTCCTGGGGTCAGAGGAGCTCTCCACCCTGCCTCTTTCCCATCTCCCCTGCAAGGACAGCCCCTCACCTGGACAGGGCTGGACAGGGCCTTCGGACTCAGCTGTGGAAAGAATGTGCCTATGAGCCCCTCTCCCCACTTCATTCCCTGGCTGGGGTGGTACAAGGCAGGCAGGACGCTGGCCCTCACACACAGGCCGGGGGAGGGGGTTGCCCAGAGAATGCATCAGCCTGACTCTATGGTCTGTTAGTGAACTAAGGCCCAGAAAGTGTAAATACAGGTACTTTGGGGAACAGGAATCCCTGCAAACCACCCCCCACCCCTAACAGAGCAGAGCCACACTGGAGGGGGCAGTCATGGGTGAAGGTCTGTCCCAACTCTTTTTACCTGTTCACAGCCCCACAGGTGTCTCCCCAGAGAGCCAAGCAGTGTCACTCCCCCCACTCCCAATGCGTGAGGTGCACGCATCCTCACAGGCACCTGAGGGAGAATGGGGCCTTACCCACCTTTCTTGGAGCGGCGGGGCTTGGGAGGAGGCCCAGATGTGCGGGCTGTAGAGTATACAAAGAGCCCATTCCCTGATCCAGGAAGGCAAGCAGATGTAAGAGAGAAACTGAGGCAGGGGCAGGGGGTAGGACAGTGACTCTGGAGTCTCAAGGCTGTCCCTGAGCTCATTATTTAAGAGCCTGCATCTCCTGTTTCATCAAGAGCCTCACCAGATCTCCAGGACCAAATTGATGTCTAGCGTCACCATTTTTCTAAACAAGCCCATCCCCTCAGCAACGGACTCCCGTCCTGTGGTACGAGCCCAAGCAGGTGGCCACGCTGGAGTTAGTCTGCATCGCTCCAGTGGCTCTGCTAGGCTCGGGATCAACAAGTCCCTTCTCCTCCTGCCCCCAAGCTACCCCCAACATACAGATCGTTCAGGGTGGGGTTGAGTTGGAACTGGGTGGTGGGAGGGGGGTGAAGGTAGCAGCAGGTCATACCTGAGCCTTCAACAAGAACATCTGGAGGCAAATAACCCTGCTGGAGCAGCTGCTGCCTCCCTGCAGGACTGTCCACAGCCACCTCGGCCACCATGTTGCAGGGGATATAGCCTGTCCGGCCCCCACCTTCACCCCGGTAGAAGCCATCAGCATCCTTGTCCCCAAACACCTGGAGGCAAAGACCAGTTGTCCTAGGAGGCCAGATCAATTTGTTCCCAGACCCTGAACCCCAGCAACACCCCCTTGGCACTACAGAAAAATACTCTTCCTTTTGCATGCTGTGGGACAGAAAATAGAGGAAAGAGCACAGAAGGATCTGAGGAGTAAGAGTGAGCAGAGCTTTCTATGTCATCATCTATCCCTGATCTTCCCAGACTGGGCCTCGCTAGTCTTAGAGCAGTAGCAAAAAGCCTTCAATCCGTACTTGGAGGGATGTAGAAATAGTAACGCTAGCTGTAAAGTTACAGTGCTATGTGTCAGGCACTTCAAGCACTTTGCATACATAGATTAATCCACAAACAACCCTGTGAAGGGGTCAGCAAGTGGCGCTGTGGTTGAGGGACTAGACTCCCACATGGCCGACAGTGGTTTGAGTCCCAGTCCAGCAACTTGCTTTTTCACTTTCCCTCTCTCTGGTGAGTCCACATGCCCTATAGCAAGTTTTAAAAAATAGTAAAAAATAATAATAGTTCTTTAAAAAAAAGATTAAAAAATAAAACCTGTGAGGTAGATGGTAATATTATCCCCACTTCACCAGTGAGAAAACCAAGGCCCAAAGGGGAAAGTAATCTAGTCAAGGTTGCACACTGGCAGTCAGTCCACACCATCAACTGACTCTCAAAGCTGCGTTGTCTACCACACCCCTATGCTCCCCCAGTGGAAAAAGGAGGGAGGAGAGGGGACACAGTCAGAGTTGGGGCTCAGGGCCCAGACGGTGAGTCAGTCACCTTCAGGATCTGACCCTCCCTGAAAGGGAGCTCCTCTTCTCCAGCATCTGGGTTGGGCGACATCGACACAGGGTCGTAGTCAAACAGAGCCACAAAGACCCTGACAGGTAGGTCTTGGTAAGCCAGCACTTCTGGGGGGCTCTGTGGATGGGCTGTGGAGAGAGCAGTGACTCAGCAGGTTATAGACATGGGGTTAGAAAAACCCCCTCAGCCTCATGAAGCATCAGATGCTCACCAAGCTCAGCAGCACCCAGCCTGGGAGCTCGGGCTCCTCTCTTCTGAGATGCCCTCCGCCCAGAGCTGTCCTGCCCTCTGGTCTCCCCAGTCTCTGTTGCCTGCAAAGAGAGGGCAACAGACAGCAGAATTGGCACCCCTTGCACTGGTGAGCCCTCCAGCAGGGAGAGGACCCCACCCACTCCCCAGCTCTGCCCAGCGCAGCGGAAGCAGCACAGCAGAGCAGGAGCACAGCATTCCTCTCCTGGAGCATTGGCCCAGACTTGGTGGGGACACGAGCACCCCACAGAAGGGCAGGAAGAAGGGGAGACCCAGCCCCAGCCCCCAGTAGGTGAGTGCAGTGGAGGGGACCGGAGGTGGCAAGGAGCAATGTTGAAGGAGGACTCCCGTCAGCGTCAGGGCTGGGTGACTCGACATGGCACTGCAGTCAGTGTCCTGGAGACATAACTAGCTACACAGAGGAAAGGGCTATGCTGCCCACAGGCAGCCCCTGGCAGCTCGTGGTAATAGAATATTGTGCATCCCGGTCGTGATCAGCAGAAGCAGCAAAGCAGTGGAATGTGGGTGGGAGAGGCAGGCGAGCCCAGAGGCCCATCACCTCTGCTGATGGAGGCGGCAGCGTGGAATGGGAGCAGCTGGTGGGCAGCAAGCAGGGCCACCAGACGGCAGCAGGCAGGGGCTGCCCAGGGTGGGGAGTGGGCACGGACCCGGGAGGATGGCTCCTTGGCTCTGCCAGACGCACTGCGGCCTCTCCGCTCTGGCTCCCCTTTCTCCCAGGCCGGGAGGCGTGGGTAGGGATTGTGACCTGAATTGACCTTCAGAGGCCCTCTGGGCCTCCCTATGGGTGCTGTACCCCAGGCCTCCCCATCTCCGGGGTAGCAGGAGCTGGTTATGGTGATGCTCCCACTGCCTGCCTCCTGTTCATCCTCAGAATCATATTCAATGCTGATTTCCAAGCACTTGGGGGAGAGACAACTGGTCAGGCCTGATTCAGGAGCCCGGCCCCGAGGGCACCTTCGGGCAGGACCCGGCCGCCCTCCTCCACCAGCCTCTAATCCAGCCTTGGTGCTCTCAACTACAGGGAGGCTGCCCCTCTCCCGTGCGGGGCCTGGTCGCCCGGAGGCCTGGGGCCCGCCGTTGCTGAGGAGTCGGCTGCAGTGTTCACGGGAATCTGGAGGCCTCCTGCGGTTCGGGGGCTTCTCAGGGGAGCCTCCTCCTCTTCTCCGGCTGCTTCCTCCAGCTAGTCCAGGCATGTCTTCCAGGCGGTCCCCAGCCCTGGAGGGCTCAGGAGACAAGGGAAACAGGCCAGGTCCTCGGGGATGGCCACCGTCACAGTCCAGTCCCAGCAATGCAGGTTCAAGGGGCCCAAGGTCTTGGGAAGAACAGCCTGCCCTTGGCTTCTCCTCTTCCTCATCCTCCTCTTCCTCCTCCTCAGGGATGCTAAAGAGCTTCTTGCTGCAGAACTGCTGGAGAGGCAGCTCCAGGATCTGCTCCAAGATCTCCTCGTCACTGTCAGTCTCACAGGAGGGGTCAGGCTGGGACTGGGAATGGGTGGGGAGTAGGGGGCAGCAAGGAAGGGAAGTCCGTGGGGGAAGAGGACAGAGCTGTGACCTTTGCCTTTGAGGCCAAGGGCTATAGGCAACCCTACAGCCCTCCCTCAGCTTCCAGCAAGAGGGGAGCACCAGACGGACAGTGGCTGGCCCAGAGCCACACACACGTCCAGGCAGAGCCAGCGGGAGAACCAGGGGCAGGTGCTGGTTCCCATGGGGATGAGGTAACAGACGCAGGCTTTGCCTGTCAGTGGAGAGGACCCCCACACCCTCCCCAGAAGCTCCCAGCAAGGATCTCAGATGGCACCGGCTTCCCCTGGCCAGAGTGCTACATCTGGTGAGTGAGGGAGTAGGGGCAGAAAAAGCTCCTTCTCCTTCCCCTTCGCCCCAGGAGGGCAGAGGCTGATCCTGGGCCACTTCACATCTGCTGCTTAGAACAGGGCCAGGCCACACACCTAGAATGTTGCTGGCACTCAGTGGCGGCTGGAACAGCTGCTGACATGGAGTGGAGGCCTGGGAGCCTGAGGTCTGGGGCCTACCAGCCCTTCCCACCCTGTTACCTTGGCCCCATTTTCCCTGATGCTGTTGCCAGCAACCTGCTTCTGGAAGGAACAAGTCCTGACACCCAGCTCCTCTTCCTCCTCCTCTTCTTCCTCCTCCTGGATGTCTGACAGGTCTGAATTGCGACCATGGTCCACAAGGGAGTTCGCAGGACGAACCCCGAGTTCTGCTGTGTCCTCCCTCTGAGAGACCAGACAAGGAGGGAGAAACGGGAAGGTCAGTGAGGGGGGACAGAGGGCTGCAGGCATGGCCAGCCCCAGTCAGAATCAAAGGGGCTCAGCAGAGGGAGCATGAACCTTGTCCAGAATGAGAGATATGCACGATGGGGGCGGGGGTGGTGGCAGAAGAAGGATTGGAACCAGACACGAGAGAGAAATCTGGAAAGACAAATGTGACAGACAGGCAGCACAAAGGGTCAGAGGTGGCCCAGAAGAGAGGTCACACAGAAAGGGCAGATTTGGACTGAGAAAAGGCAGGGCCCCGTTCTTGGGGGTGGTACCATGTGTCTCTAGCACCTACCTCAGCCTGGGGTCTCAACCCGGACCCTGTATCTCCTCTGAGGCAGGCCTCAGTATTCGGTGCCCTTTGAGCTGGCACTCCCTGGGTGGAGTGGGGTGCAAGGTGGGCCTCTCCCTCAGTCCACTCGGCCTCCTGTCTGGCCAGCGAGGGAACTATGGGGCCAGGGCCACTCTCGCCCTGGGCTGGCGAGCCAGCCCCCCTCTCCTC